CTTGTAACGGTTCGTCACAGTTACGTACATGATCGGGGGTTAGCCATCCTTATGCGTATGCCGGAGGCCCATCCCTTAAAAACGTTCACAAACAGCTCAAGCGCTCAACTATCGCTAACCAGTAGCCACGCCCCCATAATGTCATCTGTTACTTCTTTTTACCACCATCACCGCCATCCTTCCCCGCTACCTTCCTCATATTATCTGCCATCTTCCTGTATCCCTCCGATACCGATATCCGATCAATTTCATTCCGAGAGGTCATGAAATCTTCCGTTCCTCCTGTCCAAGGCTTGGTGTATTCGGACTTTGACGTCGAACCCGCTTGGCCGGCTAGTGTCCCGTCACCAGCCTCCTCCTTTTCATTTGTAGAGCTGGGTTCTGCGCTCCTGTTATTGAGCTTGTCGTTATTGCTACTGCGTATATGGAATGGTGTTAGTGACGGGACTTGGCGGTGTGCTGCACGGGGAGGAGATAAGATCGGTAGATGCCCTAGGATGGTACATGTACTCACCTTTCAGCGGCGTTACGCAGAATCTCTCTCTTCCGTCTCTCGTTCCACTCGGCGTTGTATCTTTCAGACGCGAAAAACCACCCTTTTTTCATCTTTGTCTCCATAGTCCCCATTGTCGTCGTCGTCGTCGTCGTCTGGGATATCGAGTCCCTCCTCTCCGTTCCGACATCTCTCCTCATACTCCATGATCTCTTCCGCCTTGCAAGTATCATAACCCACGTCGGCGTCTTCCCAGTAAGGATCATCGATCGGATCGAAATCAGACGGCATTTCGAGTTGTTATGGGAAGTTGGAACAGAGGAGAGAAAGCGGCAAATGTGCTGTTGCATACAAGTCGTTGTCGATGTGGATGATTGCTGTACAGAAATGGTTTCACGCCCACGTTCGGATGCGAAGAAATAAATACAGATTGGGATGATAACCAATCAAGCGAACATTTCTGTTATCACGTTGGATCATCATCCAGACGCCAGAGGCCCAAAGACAAACCGGCAACCTACTGCCTTCAAACATTCAACAACGGCCGGCGGCATGGTCAATAAAATCACTTTCAGCCACGCACGCCAGTAAACTTTAACTGTTATTTGGTGCGACATACATTTGTATTCTATTAAGAATCAACTAATCGTATATACGCTTTAAACTTGACAAGTCTACCTACTCATGCTCCCTAACCCAACGGGATCCTGAATCGACACTCTCCGGAGACCGCTAGACAGGTATACTAACGCGGCAACTGCACTGTGACCTCCACAAGAGCCGCAAATTATCTCGCAGGGCTTCTAGAAAACCTCGACTATGGGGGCTCTCGCGTGAGTGTGCAAAAAAAGAATTGCTGCGGAAACCCAAAGTTTCACCGCTCAATTATGACCTAGAAAATCTACTCCCTTGATCCCATCTCAACTCGAAACGAGAATTTGAACCGGGGATTCGTTCGGGTTGAAATCTAAGTCCTCGGTCTTACACTACTCGGCCGACAGGTAGGTAAGGCAGTACCCTCTATCAACATGTAGTGCTGTCAGGCTTCTTGGGTAGTGACTTGAATGGTAGCATTGAACCAAGGGCTCAAGCAAGCGAAGAGCTGATCGTATACTGGGCGAGCACATTCGGTAAGGTTATGACGAAGGTACAGGATTCCCACGGCTAGGGCATGCCTTTAGGTACCTCGAGCCTGGGCTCGTACCACCGAACCCCTCTGTGACTTTACGTATCAATGTCCTCCTCATCTTTATCGAGCATTATGGCCCAGTAGACGTGTCTGGTTTCCTTGGCGAGAAGCGGGTCCTTAATGATCAAGTCAAGACCCTGCTGGTACTCATCAGAATATCAGGCACCATCCGGGTCAATGGGAGCCCGAACAGGAGTGGCTGGCACATGGGCATCCGATATATGAGTAGTCTCTGATACGGCAGTAGAATGGTACTCTCCGGGCACCAGGTCTATTGGAGAAAAGGTTGCCCAAAGGGACGGAGGGGGATCAGCCCAAGGGAACGAGTGTTCAGTGGCGCCCTCGAAGAAAAGAGCGGGTCGCTGGTGTATTTCTCTCTGGGAGAAACCAGAAGCTGAGAGCGAATGACTGGGTGTGAATGATCGCAAGTCCGCAAAAGACTTGACATCGCGCAACGTGATGAAGTCGCCATTGGGACTGTTTGCTGCACCAAGAAGCTCAAAAAGCCTAATCAAACCGCCAGGGATCAAAGCTGGGATAACCTTAAGTGGTATACCTTCGTTGAGCTTATCACGCACTCGCTGGGTGTTGTGAGATAGGCACAAATCCATAACCAAGAGCTCCTGCTTATCATCACCCTTCGGAACCGGGGCGAGCTCGTTATCAAACCAGCTCAGCAGAAGCTTCTCGTTCTGGCAGGTACCTAGTAAAGGCGACGAACGACGAGGTGGTGCCGTTACATTGGTCATTTTGCAATGACTTGGCAGCAGCTGGAAGTAGATGTTAGAAAACGGATTCGTTATAGTTGAAGGTTGATATGTGTCACACGGACATATGCCACACTCCTGGTAACATACGGGCATATGCTACACTCCTGGTGGCATACGGGCATATGCCACGCTCCTGGTGTCATACGAGAAAGACCTACATGTATGCAGATCGCTAGATGCCTTGGAGCCTCAGGTGACAAGGACCCGTACATACTAGATAGGTACCGTTTCCCTTTGGCATAAGAAGGCCTTGAAGCCCAGCCTTCCTCTAGAGGTTGAAAGGACCAACAAGGCCTTCGAGACCAAAGTAGTTTATCAGCGGAATTGAACTACTGTTCCAAGCCCAGAACACTGCCCTTGTCACAATATGCCATTCAGCGACGGAGTGAAGCTTACCGGTTCCAAGCTGGCCCATCCCAGTGCTCCTTGCTCAAATTGAAAATCCAGATTCCCAGCTCCGGTAGCCTCAATAGAGATCTCGAGCGGCACCGCTTTGTTTTTCTCCGGGGTATTCTTGGCACCGCCGTTGGCTGGTGAAGAACCGGTGAGCGTGCCTCCATCCCTCCCACTAGCAGCGCCTCAACGGCGTTGGGACTAAAGTCCACCGGTCTATAGCAGTAGTGAGGGCTACCCTTCTTCAAACACCGCTGGAACGTTCAATAGGAGCCGCATCGAAGTGGCTGTTGAAAGCCGGGCCGGGCCATGCCTCCTCTGACGAGTAATGTTCTCCCGCGGCAATTTCACTTCTCCCCAAGAAAGTTGGGAGATAGGATGGGATCCCTCATATTCGACAACACCCAAGCTAGCGAGCAAGAGTAGTGTTAGGGGGATTGGAATCAGCATTCGGCTTTGTGACTACCCCAGTTGCTCGTCACCCGCAAGGGTGGCATCCTAGAAGGGATTGCCGTTTTGCCAGCGCAAAACAAAGACACCAAGAAAACCTGGTGTTTATCTTGAAACACAAACCAATTTTGCAGGAAACAGATGTCCTGGCAGACAAAGGGAAGACCGGGGCTCAGGTGCGGTTCCTCCCGGAACATTGGTCGGTAGTTGGGGTCTGGGCAAAGATTTGAACATGTAAGCATAGGGTCTTCCAACTTATGGGATCAATAACAGGGGAATCGATGCCGTCGAATATAGAGTGCCCTCCGGTGAAATTGTCCGGGGTGTCCATGATGATACGGCTTAAAGTGCCGCTAGTGAGGTCGAGAAGAATCTCAGGCTCCGCATCAACCTCAACGTCAGCCCTCCCTTGTGGAGGTAATGTCAGAGGAAAGCCCAGGAGTCCACCTCTCCGCCGCCAAAGCCAGGGTCCTCATCAGCGGGAATTTCCCCATTTTCGTGATCATCAGCAGGGAATCCGTCCTCAGAAAGCTCAACCTCTTCTTCGAAATCTTCAGGGAGGCCAACATAACTGATAGACCAGGTAGTGGAAAGGGCGTCGACGCTAAAAGTTCTCCCCGTAAATGAGCCATTCCCAGAGTCTCTCGTAATTAATCCTCCGCCGACTCTTCCATGCCTCGGCCATGTCGAAGTTGTTTTCTTTGTTGTGGACCAGAATACAAAGTTTTCGCAGATGAGGGTATGAGGCACGAGACTCGCCCCGGTATTCTTCGTTGCTGGGCTCCCAGTTCCATAATCCACGCCTCTTGAAGAAGGACATGACCGTGCTGTAGCAAGTGGATAGACACGATCCAACAACTCCGAAACCAGCGGGTGAAACAGAACTGAAGAGCATGTCAGAGTCAAACTCGCCCATGGCTGCGCTTAGCAGTCCAGCCTCGTAGGCCGGGGCCGCCAGCCGAGGCAATGTGCTGTCGTGTTGTGTGTGCGTACAAGTTTACGACTACCAAAGTCGAAACCCAATATCAAAGATGGCCCTCTCAACCGAAGCCGACAACACCGTCAACCCCCCTTACCACCTCCGCGACGGCACAATAAGTCTTGGAAGTGGGTGAAGCAGTAAATGTCTTCTACTGACCACCATTTCAGCATCGAGCTCCTTTGAGGTCTGTTCAAGGAACTGTGCGAGGACGACATATATGAACATCATGTAGGTTGCCCGGCCTGCTTTGTTTCCAAGCTCAAGGCATAACATTTGTCGAACAGCGACGCGTAATATTAGGGTACCGCGACCTTCTTCCTGTGACACCCAAGGTGTTGGTACTCATGGTTATGGAAACATCTGAACAGCACGGAAAACTCACCATTGACCCTCCGAGTCTTCCTTTCAACAAAGAACACCTTATCTCTCTGTGCTGGAAGTTGGTTGACCCAGATATCATCCCAGAACCTCCCTACAGCGTCATATTCCTTGCGAATCTCCATCTTCTTCCTCCTCGGCCTTCCGCTTATGATAGCTGGTGGCCTTGAAGTCGTCATCATCCCGAGGGACGACTCTCATGTGCCCGAACTCATTGTCAAAAGCAGAAGTGGTGTTCCTCGGCAGCCAACTTTATTTGGCCATGGCGGCAGTTCCGCCACCGCGTACAAGATGGTGCCGGCGCTGGGTGTTGTGTGGGTGCTGGCGGCAATTTTGGGGCCAGTCGGTTGCCACTCTTGGCCGGAGCGACATTGGACTGCTGCTGCCTTGTTGGAAACTTTGTATCAAGATGCACTTGTCGGTGGTTGAAACGGGCTGTACTCCCAAGGGTAGTGTGCCGAAGTCTTGCTTCGCAGATTTCCACCTCTAGAGAGCGAGGGTCTCACGGGCCGTCGGGCGCAGACAACAACCGACAGACGACAGACGCTGAAACCAAAGAAGCCAAAAGTCATCATGGGGCTGGGGCTGGGACTGTGCATGGCTGACATGCTCTGCTTGGTTGCCGTTCAGGGTATGGGCGACAATTGCGGTGACACGGTGTTGGGCGTGGATTGCATGCATCGTGTGCATTTACGAGCAAGTGTCGATGTCCTCCTTGTGTCTCTGGAAATGACACAGTGCGAGCGGTCAAATTGAGAAAGTTAAGTGTCTTTCGAGCAATCGATGAACAATCCTGCTGACCATAGAGATCACGGGAGCCGAAGTCGAAGACCGAAGTCTGATCATCTGTTGTTCTTTGTGTGAGGGTGGGGACTGTCGAAATGGATTTGAACCGTTGAGTTGCCCAACCATCGTTGATGTGCAGGGGCGCTGTGTTTGCCTGTCGGACAAAAGAAAGAAAAGCATCGCTGGTTGAATAATTTGGATGGATTAAAACATGATGATGTAAAAAGATGATGGAAGTTTTGAAGAATCATGGATAAGATGAGGATGCATGATGGAGAGAGAAGAGGAAAACAGAACAATGTGCGAGGGGCGAGGTCTGTCCTTTATAGCTCAGTCTGACGGGACTCGCCTCCCACCAAAACCTCTCACCACATGAATGCCTGCCTCGTACCTGCAGGAGGACTGATATTGTGGCTACCAGAAGACCGCGGCTTATCTCAATTCGTAGCTTCTGTCAGGGAATGATCACTTTGCTTGCCACGTTGCGTAACGGTTGATCAAAGGCAAAGACGAGCAGTTCGGCCATTGGCGCAAAGACGAGATGAACCAAGTGTAACAGCAATAGATGAACTTGCTTGAAATGTAACATGTGCTTCCCTCCATCTCGAAGACTGCCTTCCACTCTAGTTGCTCAGTTGGTAGGCGAAGTGGTTGCAAAAAAGCCAACCATGGACAGTCCAACACGGCTTGCTTGAGGTAAGAAAGGTCGTCACAGAGCTGCGATCACCATGATTTGAAAACACATCGGTTAGAGTCCCTCAAAGGCTTGGACTTTCAGAGTTGCCAAAGCATTTGGCTCAAATTTATGATCAGAACGTTTGTGTGCGTGATAAGAGTACGTCCTAGGTATGTGATGCTGACTGTGATGCGCTCAGTCAGTTGGAAGGGTAAGCGTGGTCCTGCAGTTAATCTCACCACCACGATTGCTGTCCCATGGAGCGGTTTCTGGCCTCGTATAGTGCGGCAATAGTATGACCCCGAGAAGAATGTGCCGCAATCCCGGCTGAATAGTAGCTACCACTACTGGCATATGCTCGAGCTTCTTGGTCTCTCATTGCGTTCATGATTGCCTGTGACTCTTCTTACCCGCTGGGGTCGGCGACTGTTAGAACATGTGGCTTCTTCTTAACAACAAGTGCCTTTGTGTGGCAAGGGCAGTGTTCTGGGCTTGGAATAGTAGTTCAATTCCGCTAATAAACTACTTTGGTCTCGAAGGCCTTGTTGATCCTTTCAACCTCCATGAGAAGGTCGGGCCTTAAGGCCTTCTTATACCAAAGAAGGTTGGTACGTACCGAGCCCTGTGTGCCAGGCATCGGCGCGAGTCTATCTAGTTTATCTGCCTACAAGTAGATCTTCTGAATGCCAGCCTTCGTCCAGTTGCCCGTCGGTAATTCCGGTCGGTGGTTTAATTGATGAAAGTCGCCGGCGAATGTCCGTGTGGCATTCTGTCGGTAATTCCGGTCGGCAGTTTGACTGATGAATGTCACCGGCGAATGTCCGTGTGACACTGGGCGAGGCAAGGCTGGCATTGTATGGCGAGGTTGGGTTGATGCCAAGCATTGAGGCTCTATTGAACTTCAAACCCAGGAGTGTGGGCAATGTCCGTGTGACACTTTGTTAAGGAATTGGCAGTTCTGATATGTGAGTCTGGGTCCAACCTACCGACTGTAGTTTCCGGGCCAGTGATCTTGTTCAGAATCTTCTTCGTGATGATGTGTGCCAGACCCGTGGTGGTTGCCATTGTAATGATGACCGCTGCTTCGTGATGAAGGGTATTGGCTATAAGCTTCGCTGTGACTTTAGGGTTCAACCATCAACCCACGGTCTGCAGAATATGGGTTGCCCACAGATTGAGACCGTGATACAAAATGGTCGTCATGGCCACGAATATACGTGGGAACGCCGGAGAGGACTCCATAGGAAGGAACTTCCACTCCGTCGTGGTCGCTTGGGTAGCCATCATCCGAGTGAGTGTACTCTAACTCAGATACTAACTCGGCATAGCCGGTGTGCTCCACGTGGCCATCTTCCACCTCCTCAAAGACGGCAAAACCCGGCCATTCCTCTGCTACAGCATCCTGGCCAGCATCATGGCCGTCGTGATCATCAGCTCCATGGTCGTCGTATCCGCCGTTGTCATGGTCGTCATGATCGTACCCTCCATCGTTATCATCAGAGCCGTCGTAGTCATCATAGTCATTAGGTTGTAGTCGTCGTAGTCGTCATACCCGTAATCATCATCGCCGTAGTCAGACATGTTGGAAATTTGGGGAAGGAAAGCCGTGCAGTGCTTTGACTGGAATTGGGCAGGTAAGATCAGTTGGAGATCGGAAGAGTAAAAAGAGAGAAGACGTGAAGGAATGCCCAGTTCGATGCAGCAGCAACGGGAAGCCCGGAGGCGTTTTGTACAACTTAAGATGCAAGTGGAAGATATGATAGGAAAAGAAGGCCTCAGGAACAGCCAGTCCGATGAGGGGGAGGCAATGAGCAACCGCGGAGAAGGACGTTCCTGAGGATTAGCGTGCCTGGGAAAGTGGGTCCGACACCGGCCTCTTGTGCGACGCACAAGGCAACGA